AAACCTCCTCGTTAGAATCCAGGGCTGGATCCTCCTCCTTGGGTTCCCCAAGCGTGGTTGGGAAACAGGAGCTGGGACTCCATCTGCTGCCGGCTGCTTTTCCTCAGCTGCTCTTGGAGGAAATTGGAGGTGAAAAGGAGGAAGAGGAGCAGCACAAGGAGCAGAGAAGTCCTCTCCTGCCAGGTCTGGGCACCTGGGAGGGATTTTTACCTTTTTTCCCTGCTCTTCAGTTATTAATTCACCTGAACTCCCCTTGTTTGTGGCTGACAATTCCCAGGGTGCCCCAGAGTGATGCAAGATTTTTATTTGTGGTCCCCTGCCATCTGCATCAGCAGGTTCATATCTTTCCTTCTCGGGTCTAGAGAGATGGAAAATTATCCAAATCAGATTTTATTTTATTTTTTTAATGAAATTTTTACATTGTATTTGAAGGTATGAGGACCTGGTAAGACATGTCCTTGAAGCCCAGCTTTAGGCAGAAGAAACAGCAAAAATGGGGGGAGACGTTAATTTTACTTCAAACTGTGTCCAAGCTCAACAACTAGTTCAGGGGTTTTTTTTTAACCATGTTGTTGCCTCTGCTGTATGAAAAACATTGAGTGTTTTGGGGTTTTTTCTATCCTGGTTAAGGATGAAAAATGGAAATGATTTGATTCATTTTTCAAAGAACAATTTTTCAGTCAATCAGAATATTTGACTTTGAGAAATTTTACCGATTTCAGTTGGATTCCAGTTCCTTTAAAATGCGTCTTATGTAAATGTAAATTAATTAAAATACAGGTAAAATTAGAAAGTAGCTTTGAAAGGATTGAAGTCTCTCACTCTACACATGTTGGATGGAGCTATTTTTAGGTTAAAGTTGTTTTATAATATTGGAGGGAAAAATGAAGGGATCTTTTCTGCAGTTTCAGCCTTTCAGTTGCATTTCTAGCACCAGAAAAATGCACCAGACAACATGCAGGGAAGTTCAGGTGCTGAGTCCCTCCCTTGGGGTGGCTGTTCCAATATCTGTCTGACTCCTTGGCTCCTCTGGGTGTCAATGTGTTGAAGGGATGTGGTGGTTTTAGCTTGGCCAGCAGCTAAACACCACACAGCCACTCACTCGTCCTCCCCTGATGGGATGGGGGAGAGAATCAGAAGGGGAAAAGTGGGAAAACTCATGGTTTGAGATAAAAACAATTTAATAATTGAAATAAAATATTAATTATTACATTAATAATTATAGTAGTGGTAATAATAGAATATAGAATGAAGTGATGCCCAGTGCAGTTGCTCACCACCCACCCCGACTGATGCCCAGCCTGTCCCCAGCCAGTGATCCTGGAGCAGGGATAGTCCCCAAACTGAAACAACAATCCTGGAAGAGTGAGTCTGAGTGATCCCTGAGAGAATCCAAGAGCTTTCCAGTCAACTCTCATGAATAGAGAGGAGAGAAGGAGACATCCCACCCAAGCCAGACCAAACGTCCCCTCTCCTGACATGACTGCTAGAGCTGGCCACCCCTAGCTAGGGGCTGTGAGATGTGCGAGGAGGAACACAACCACCACACTTTCTGTTATCAGGTTGGAAATTGCAGTGACCTAAAGGTGTCTGGGTTGACCTGTTTGACCAGTTTCCATATTGAGATGGAAAAAATTGTGTAGACCAGGCAGTGCAGAGGGGGGAGGAGGGCAGGGACACGGTATGGGGAGAGTCTCTGCCAGGTGACAGTAGGTTTTGTCCAGCTATCCTTCCTGCAAGTGTGCATCCCCTTGGAAAACCTCCCTCTAAATCCTTTGTCCCCAATTAAAATTTAGGAGGAAGGACCTTCCTACATCATTGCTGTGTATAACTGTGGAGTGGCCTGTGTTCTGCATCCACGTCCTTTGGGAATTCAGTCTGGAAAGTCAGTTGGGTAGAACCTGGGACATCTCAGTCTCAAGATGTGTTTTGGTGGTAGTTTTTGTGAGGATAGAGCTCTCCTGCGGGGAATTACTTCTCATCTGCTTGTTCTTCACTTCCATGCCTCTTTTTCTCTCTCCATCCCTTAACTCTCTCTCTCCCACTGAAGTGGGATTCAGTGGGACCCTGTAAGTGGTCACTGTGGGCTCCTGTGGATATAATAATGTTGTTGTAACTTTTTGTGTGCTGAGGGCAGAAGTCTGAATCAAAATCCTGTTTTATTTGGTACAAGTGAACAGGATAAAAAATTGTGGTGGCATTGCCAGCATTTGCTACTGCCATTGAATTGTAAAGAGAGGAAAGTCTTGGCTTTGATTTCCCTATCTCTGAGGCTTGTCAGACATGGAAGATAAGCTCTGGGCATGTTTTAAGAAAGATCTTTGAGATTACAATGTTATGTCTCAGACTTCAGGAGATAGGGTTGGTTGTTACAAGAGTCTCTTGTCCCTGCAGCATGCAAGGAGATCTGAAGATGTGTAGTAAGATAAGGAGGTCTCAGCTCCTCTGAACATCAGCTTGCTTCAGAAGCAGACTTTTTGCACTGGACCAGTGCCCTGTGCCCTCTGTCTGCCCCTGTCAGAACGGACACAGGTCCCTCCTTGGGGGCATATTTTCTCCTTGGCTGGCAGAAGGTACCAGGGCTGGAACCTGTCCTCTGGCAGGGCACTAAAATGCCCAAGGCAGCGAAGTTCATACCTCTGGGAAATGGTGTGTTGGAGATTTCTCTATGCAGGGAGGCTAACCTGGTGATGGAAAGGGTGACCAAGTCTTCAGTCAGTAGTCTTGGGTTGGTTTTGGGTAGAGCATAGGAGCAGGAATCGGGGCTCACACTGAGCATTCTGCCCACTTTGCCTCTCCCCTCACCTCCAACTCCAGGCAGGTTCCTGCTCTCAGCTGCATGGTGTTTCCTTCCACCAGCAAAAACCTGCCCATGAGCAGTGGAGCTTCTACCACACAGCCTCCCCAGGTCTGCAAGGAGAGTGAGCAGGGCTGCATGAGGCACCCCTGAACCCTTGCAGACAGCTCCCATCTCGGGGGAGGATGTCAAGGGATGGTAGAACCTGGGCAGTGAGTGGGGTCCCTGTCCAGGGGCTCAGTCCTGTCTACGGGGTGGATCAGGACCCAGTCACATCTGAAATGAGGATTTCACCGGTAATGCTCCATCTCAGAAAAATATTCACAGCCATAAACGTTGATTAGTGTTCCAGCTACGGAGCCAAACTGGGATCTGGTCTCATCTCTGCACTCTCCAGCACAGCAGCCTCGGTGACTCTGCAGCCCGCTGCTGAATGCACTTAAATGTCTCCAGCAGCACGTTGGGCTGTTGTTAAACAAAGAGAAGGTTTCTGTCCAGTGATAGGGATCAAAAAATAACAGCCTAAGCAGCTTTCAGGTGTGGATAAAATTCCCTCCGGAGCAAGGGACCCAGGCCAAGGCAACGCTTGGGCTTACAGGCTGCTATGAGGGTCTGCTCAGATTAACACCCAGTGACCTCCTCAGGTTGCATGTACCCTCAGAGAACGGAAATATAGAGGCTTGTCTGATGTGGCACCAGCCAAGGAAGTTTCTAAACAGCTCATGAAAACCAAGGAGCTGAGAAATCATGAGGTTGCTGAAGGAGAAGAAATCCATCCTTTAAATGCGTTGCTAAGGTTATCAGCAAGGCTTGGAGAGTGCTTCTCTCCATCTGCATTTACATGTTCTGCTGACGGTGGTGTTAAGGGAGCCACAGCTTCCCAAAGCAATCTCAGGTACTTCATTGCTTAGAAGAATGATGAATTTGCCCTTTCATCAAAGGTGGTCCTGTCTGGTGATGGGGAAGGAGTTGTTACCAGGTCTGAAGACCTTGGAAGATACTGATTCTGAGGGACTATTCCATGTCCAGACTGAAACAACATAACTGGGGGAAATTATAGTCCTCCTCATGTTAATCCAGCCTCTTCCTCTATGGGTATGGTCTGGATGGAGCTGTGTAGCTCATTGACTGGAAGGAAAGGAGGAGACCTTCAGAGCTCCTGGGATGCCCAGAGTGAAAGGAGGTAAGAGGCAGAATCCAAATGTCTCCAATAAGAAGGATATTTCACACCTTTACCTATTAGCAGCCAGTCCAGAACTGCCCCAGAGTTCTTGAGCTGCTCTGCAGGACTCACCAGCCTTGTTTTCAAGTCTGCTTCAGGCTCTGCACAAAATGCATCATCACGGGAACGCTCCAGAGACTGCACAGCTCCTGCACGAAGCAGTCACATCCTTCCTGTGGTCATGGTCATTCCTCATGTCCTGCTCACCAGCAGGGCCACCTGCACAGCTGGAAGAGCTGCAGTCACTTTCTGGATGGAGCTGCATCCTGAGATGGTAGATACAAATTCTCCATCATCTTACTGCCTATGGTGCCAGGTCCCATTTGTTGCCATCATTCCTGTTGTTGAAGAGAGGTTGAAAGTAACTGGTGTAGGACAGGATGGCAGAGGTGGCTTCATGGTTTTTATCTCCTGAGGATGTTACTTTGGCAGGGGTGATGGGTACCAGCCACGTTTAGTGTCCCAGGTTGGCCAGAGAAGCTGTGGCTGCTCCTCCCTGGAAGTGTTGAAGGCCAGGTTGGATGAGGCTTTGAGCAACCTGGTCTAGTGGAAGGTGTCCCTGCTGCTGGCAGGGGGGTTGGAACTGGATGAGCTTTAAGGTCTCTTCCAACCCAAACCAGTCTGGGATTCTATGTCTGGAGGTTGCAGACAAAGTTGGAGACTGTCAGGAGCAGGTTGCCAGGTTGTGAAACAGGATGAGAACATTCAAAGTGGCTTCTTTTGGAAGAACTCTCTTTGTAGGGTTGCAGTGCAAATGCTGGCAAATGACTTTTTAGCCACCAAAGCCACCGTTACAGATCAGACCTGCTCCTGAGAAGGAGCTCATGTCTACATGGAGAAGACACACTTTAGCTCAGTGGACAAAAAGTTATCTGAGGTTTGTAATCCAGGTGTTTCTAAGGGTTTGCAGAGGGGGAGGGAAGGGGTGGTGGGGGGAGGAATCCTGACACCCTCTCACAGCACCCGCGTTTCTCTTCCCAGCGCCTGGTGCGGATGAACATGCCGATCTCACCTGAGGATTTAACCGTCCACTTCACGTCCACCCTGATGGCTTTGATCCGCACTGCCCTAGAAATCAAACTCGCCTCAGGTGAGAGGGAGGTGACATCTCACAGCACCCATGGGCTTCAAACCCCGACTTGTTTGTGGGTTTGGTGTCCACCACAAACCACAGACTGGTGGAAATTCAATTTTTCTATCCCCTATGTGCCCTCTGCCAGTGCCCAAGGACAAGGGAGCTTTGGGGACAGGCAACAGAGAAGGGTCCTGAGCATCACTCTGCCTTGGGGTGGCCACATCCTGGCATCCCTGTTGATGAGGTGTGGAGAGCTTTGTCCATCCACATTGGGAGCTCTCAGAGGAGAAGCCTTGTGCGTGTGCTTGTTGCTGTGTAACAGAAATGAGTCTCCACACCTCTTCTAAACTATTCCAGCACGAGGCAAAAAAACCAGCCCTTCCTCTCCATGTGGGGCCTGGAGCATCTGCCCTGCGAGGAGAGGCTGAGAGAGCTGGGACTGTTCAGCCTGGAGAAGAGCAGCCTGAGAGGGGATCTGATCAATGTCTATAAATATCTGAAATGTGGGGTCAATGGATGGGGCCGGGCTCTTCTCGGTGGTGCCCAGTGACAGGACAAGGGGCAATGGGCACAAACTGGGACAGCAGAAGTTCCAGACAAACTGAAGGAAAAACTTCTTTCCTGTGAGGGTGTTGGAGCCCTGGGACAGGCTGCCCAGAGAGGGTGTGGAGTCTCCGTCTCTGGAGATGTTCAAACCCACCTGGACACTTTCCTGTGCAACCTGCTGTAGGGAACCGCTTTGGCAGGGGGGTTGGACTGGATGATCTGCTGAGGTCCCTTCCAACCCCCACCATGCTGTGATTCTGTGATTGCTGTCTGCTGGCAGTGAAGCAGTGACTCCAAGTGCTGTGAACCATATTCCACCTTGAGAGAAAATTTAATTATTTACATATTTAATCAGGCATTTATTTGACTTCCCAATTAAATATCGCAATGTAATGAAATACACTGGCCTTTTCTCTGGGTTGTCACACTCTTAATCAGGCTGACTGAGGTCAGAATCATGTCATGACCAGCCAAAACACTTTTATACCTAATTTAAGAGCTAACAGGAGGTGACAATGCTGTCAGGAGCAAAGGGCAGGGCAGGGGTAGGATGTTCTGCTTTTCCTAAGTGGGTTTCAGGCCAGCCTTTCAACCTCTCTGTATTAATTACCTTCTTTATATGTTGCTTAAGCTTTGTCTTTGATTCTTTTTGGGTAAGCACTGCTGGAAGAAGACCCAATTTTGAGGTGACTGGGACTCCCTTAGGGAATGACAGCGAGTGTCAGACACTCATTTCTAAGCGTGGCTTTAGGACTCTCTGGACCAGCACCTTATTTTAGTAATAACCTCTAGATAAGGACACTAAAATTTGCATTATTTTAGGATTCTAGTTACCTGTCAGCAATGGTAATTCAGTTGAAAAAGGCCCCCCCACCTTTTATTTTTGGCTGCACGCTGGAAGGGAAGCAGAGAAGACAGCTCAGCTGATAGCTCTGGCTTCTTTCAAAGATTTATATCTGCTGTGGGTTGTGACTTCATGACCTGTTTTGTTGTCATGTGTGCTTCGTTTGAATAGGTTTCATGTTCTCCATTTAATTCAGTCTTTAGTGAGATTAAAAAGCCCTTAATAAACTCCCTAATGAGTTTGCAGTGTGGGAGTTCAAACCACCATGTAGCAGAGAACCCAGAGCTTCTTCCCATTACTTTTTCTCTTGGAAAAATAATCTCTTGTCATTCAGCTGAAGTACTTAATTGCCTCCTGTGTGGGGCATTCAGCTGGGAGCTGGCCTAGTGGCTTCCGTCTACATTAATCACTCTCCACTTGTGTATTGAGACCTCGCTTTGGCCCTTTGAACAACGCTGCTGTGTTCATTTCTTCCTGTTTTCACACGGTTGATGTAGCTACTGTTTGATGCTGCTGATCCTGAAGGAGACATCCAACAATGGCTCGTTGCCAAATATTTCAGGAAGAGATGTTGGTGGGGAGGGTTTAATAATCAATCATGGCATTGTTCATAGTCCAGCACCTCAGACCAAGTCCTTTGCATCACGCTCAGGAGGTGCTGCTGCTTTCTGCTGATGCACCCCAAATGAGCAGTGAGAATAAGTCTGAGCTTAAGTTAAAGCCCCAGGTAATGGTGGATTTGTCAGCAGGTTGAGGTGATGATGGTCTTGTTGAGTTCACACACTTTTGTACTGGAGGAGATCACAGAGGGATCTGGATCAATGGGCCAGGACCAATTCCATGAGTTTCAACAAGGCCAAATGCCAGTTTCTGCACTTTGGCCTCAACAACCCTACTACAGGCTTGAGGAGAAGTGTCTGGAGAGCTGCTCAGCAAAGAGGGACCTGGAGGTGTTAGTCAACAGCAGCTGAACATGAGTCAGCAGAGTGCCCAGGTGGCCAAGAAGGCCGAGTGCATCCTGGTCTGGATCAGCACCAGTGGGGCCAGTAGGAGCAGGGAAGTTCTCTTCCCCTCTGTACTGGGCACTGGTGAGGTCGCACCTCCAGTGCTGGGTTCAATGTTGGGTCCCTGACTCCAAGAAGGACATGGAGGTGCTGGAGTGTGTCCAGAGAAGGGCAACGGAGCTGGGGAAGGGTCTGGAGCACAAGTGTGCTGAGTTCCCTTGTGGCTGAGGGAACTGGGGTTGTTGAGCCTGGAGAAAAGGAGGCTGAGGGGAGACCTTCTGGCTCTGTCCAAGTCCCTTGGAGGAGGGTGGAGAGAGGTGGGGGTGGGTCTGTTCAACCAAGAACCAAGGGACAGGACAAGAGGAAATGGCCTCAAGTTGCACCCAGGGCAGTTGAGATGGGATGTGAGGAAGAATTTCTTTGCTGAAAGGGTTCTGAGGCATTGGAAGGGGTTGGCCAGGGCAGTGGTGGAGTCCCCATCCCTGGAGGGATTGAAGAGTCGTGTAGACACAGTGCTGAGGGACATGGGTTAGTTGGGGACTTGTCAGTGTTGGGTTCATGGTTGGACTCGATGATCTTAAAGGTCTTTTCTGTCTGGGCAATGCTGAGATTCTGTGATTCCCTTTGTGACCACTGCTGCAGTTGGTGCTGGTTTGCGGCTCTCAAGAAATGGGAGTGGGGACAATGACTTCTCCTGAGCTTGCTGTATAATGGTGGTACACACTGAAAGGAGAAGGTTTTTTGTTCTTCTTCATGTGCCTCTTTCTCTCCCCTCCTTTTCTGCAGGGGGTGTTAAACAGCACCAGTGTGATGCTGAGTTGAGAAAGGAGATCTCACTGGTTTGGCCCAATCTGTCCCAGAAGACTCTGGATTTGCTGGTGCCTCCTCACAAACGTAAGTGGTTCATCAGCAAACACCCAACCCACCCCAGCTGCCTAGACAAGCCCAGAGGAGGCTTCTCCATCCTTGCCTGCTCTGTCCCTAGCCCATCAAGGTGCACAGTTGTCTAGAGGATGCAGCAAAGAAACCAAGTGCAGGTCAGCTTCTAGGTGTCCTCTCTGCAGGGTTCACAGCCCACATCTCCATGCCATGGTCAGTCAGGTAAAGGAGTAGGGCAGCTGAGGTCACATCTAGGCATGTGTTTCCTTATGCTACACTATATTTCCTGTACTTAGAAAAAAAACAAACCAAAAAATACCCCAAACATTTAAAGAAGGGACCAATGCCCTGTGGGACCTCTTCCAGAGCTTTATTGTCACTCCAGCCTGTGCCTTGCAGGACAGGAGAACAATTTCTACCATCTGGACTCCAGAAAACCAGAAGAAGAAAATTAAATTTTGCTGAGAACTTACAGAATCAGAAGTGAGGTATTCTGGGGCTAAAGGCCTTGATGTTTCTTGATGTTGTCTTGGGCAAATGTGCTGAGAAAATGGAAAGTTTGCTGTTATCATGTTCAACCAAGACAAGGGCTGTGGATTCCTGATTAATGAGAAACAGCGAAGAGCAAGAAAGGTGTTAAGAAAAATGAGGGAGCTGAAGAGGTGCAAATCAGTGGGTAGTGACTGCTTAAGTCTTTTCCTCCCCTCCTCTCTTGATGAAGACCAGGTTGGATGAGACTTTGAGCAACCTGGTCTAGTGGAAGGTGTCCCTGCTGCTGGCAGGGGGGTTGGGACTGGATGAGCTTGAAGGTCCCTTCCAACCCAAACCAGTCTGGGATTCTATATCTGGTGTTTTGACTCGTGCTGAGCTGCTGTGTGGGGAAGGGCTGGTAGCATGGCTGTGAGCACGCCATGAAAGAAGCCATCTGGAGAAGTGAAATAAACGCTCTTTCAATGTGTATCAGCCCATTATGCCCCAGTTGACTGTAACTCAAAGAAATAAGGTATCAGGCTGCTTTGGTGATAAAAAGCTGGCTGTGGATCTGGGATTAATTTAGCAATTCTTCTGCTGGCAATGTTTCCCATGCCACAGAGTTCTCCTGCCTGGTTTTTTTCTACATGATCTCTGTGAATATTTGCCCCAGAGAGCTAGAAGTAGAGGCCATCCTTCTCCAATTTGAAATCCAGCAAGAGGCAAAGACCTTAAGAAGTCTGTTGTAATGTTTCTTACTCTTTTTTTTTTGTTCCTCCACTTTTCTGTGTCTGTTTTGCCTCATTCTAATGTCACCTCTTCTTCCTCCTTGTTTTTGATGCCCATTTGTTGTTATTTCTTGTGCTCTTTGACTTTTTCTTCTCTTCTGATCCTTTTCCTTTCACCATCCTCTGACAGCCGATGAGATGACGGTGGGGAAGGTCTACGCAGCGCTGATGATATTTGACTTCTACAAGCAGAATAAGAACAGCAGGGAACAAGTCAACCAGCCTCCTGGAGGCCTGTGCCAGGTACTTGGCCAAAAAGTGTCCTTCTCTGTCCTCCCTCTTGGACAGCTTCTTCTCCAGCGTTGGGCAGCTCTCATGAGTCACCAGCATGTTTCATCTGGAAAGTCTAGATGCATCTCCAGGCAGGATTTGAAAGTGCTGTCTCAGAAATGGAAACTTCTCCTGAAAGTCTCTCTTTCTCAAAAGATAAAAACCCCAAAAAAACCCAAAAACCATTGGTGCAGTTGTTTTTTCTTGTAGGTCTGGAAAGGTGTTTTCCAAAAGACGTTAAGTGACTTGGGAGTCACTTAAGTCACCAAGTCTTGTTTTCAGAAGTGACCTAAAGACTGGGGAACACCAAAAGATTTCTTTGAATTATCAGAATCAGAATTAATAGATAAATTTATAAGAATTATTGAAAGCTGATGGTAGTTTTAGCTCTAAAACGTTTAAGCTGCTTTTGAAAAATCCGAGTTACTCAAAATCCCTTTGGCTTTATATTAAATTATATTTATATTAAATATTTTATAGATTTGAAGATTTTTACTATTTCTCGAAAATATTTCCTTGCAACTGACTTGATATTGAAACCCCAAAGATTTCCAAAAGGACAAATACCTGTTGATTTCAGGATGAACATCCAGCTGATCTCCAGCATGGTTTATCTGTCTGTCTCACAGATGGGTGGCTAGATAGAGCAGACCCAGTGCCACAATGAGCCACCTGAATTGCCCAGCCCCTTTGGTCACATCAGTGGATGAAATCCCTGGTGCACTCTGGTGACCAGGGAGATACTTTGTTAGAGGGAAGGGGGCTTGCAGCACAATTTTGGCCTGTGTGAAGCTGAGGGTAGCCAGTGTCCTTCAGAGCCTCTGACAGCTATGGGAAGGCTGGAGTGTCCTCTCTGCTGTGCTGATCTTTCAGGGTGGACTTTTTATGAACTAGAAAATGTACTGCAGTCCATTTTCTCCATACATAGCTCCGTCTCTGACAACCTTCTCTTGTGCTTCACAGCCTGGACCAGTGTCACTCTTCCACCCCCTGAAGGCCACTTTGGAGCAAACCCAACCCACAGCATTCAACAACGCCAAGGCATTCCTTCGCCAGAAGAGCTCAGCCTCCCTCAACAACGGGGGCGCCTTGTGAGTACCCCATCATCCTCCCACCAAAGCTGTAACGCAGAGAAGGGACACACTGGCCATAGGCATCAACCCCAACCACTGCTGGTTCAGTTGCTTTAGAGGTGGGGCAGCACAGCTGGTGGGATGAAGACCAGCAGCCCTTCATGCCATGGCTGGGACAGTTTCCAACCAGTGGCTACCAAAATACCTGTGTGTCTGCTTCCTACTGCTGCCTCAGGTGCAGTTATCCATGTTAGCCAGTTATCCAGTATCCAATTAAGATTCAGAGGAGACCATTGGGGTTCTTCAGAGATGCGTGTTCTCTTCATGGTCTCCTCTGAATCTTAATTGGAGAGCTTTCCATTGTGGTGAGTTGTCAGTGTGAGTTTGCTTACAGGAATTTGGGATCATTCCAAAACAACCAACAAGCCCCAACCCACCAACTACCAATGAGTACACTTGGGGAGTAAAAAGGTCCTGGGGAACAAAGAAGGTACCTCAAGCTTGTGGCACTTGGTAACAACAAGAGCTTCTTCAGACTTTCCAGGACAGAATCTGGCTCTTTGGGCAAAAGAATACCTCCACAGAGAGCTCACCAAACAGTTATAGGAACAGTGATCCCTAATCAATTCTCCATTTCCTGCTTTTCTTCAGGTGACTTTCTTCTGGGTCACAAGTGCTGTGGATTTTTAATGATAGACATCTGAGGTTTCAATGTCCTGAATAACCCTGATGGGGAAACCAACATTAGACTCAAGAGTGAAACCCAAGGTCTTCTGTACCACTGTACATTCAGTGAATGTACTTGGCCACAGATGGCTAATCTTGGCATGGCCACAGATGTTTGACCAATGTCATTTAGGGCTATTTGTCTAATTGGTCTTGCATATATAATTTGTCTGAATTCCAAATTCATTCTTCTTCATCAGAACTTGAGCTGCAGCAGCTGATTTCCTCAGTTACTGAAAAAATATACATATATATATATACATATATAAAAAATATGTACTGACTGGTTTGGTTTCCTTGTTGCTCATCAGATCTTCAGCCTATATAGAAAGTGTCCCTGGCAAAACCCAGGGGACCTTCTAGCTTTAGCAGCAGTTGTGCCAACCCTGCAACTAGTTTCATAAGTGAAACCTCAAAGGGTACCCGAGTGCTTTGCCTTCACCACTATAAAGTCAGGAAAATCTCTCTGCAAAAGAATTAATCTCTTTTTTTTTGTCCTCTTTTCCTTCTGACAGACCAACCCCAGAGGGTGGGATCAAAGAGTCCAGTTCTTGGGGGACTCAACGCACCCAGGATGTGTTTTATGAAACCAGGACACCAGCTTTTGAACGAGGCCACTCAGAAGAAATCCCCATTGAGCGGGTGAGCAAACAGGTGAAGACAGGTTGAAATGCAGTAGACAGTAGATCCATCCCTTGAGATGAGCATTGTTCTCTCCTTTATAAACCAAAGTTTGCTTGAATATTATGGAGAAAAACCAAATCTGATATCTTCTAAGGTCTGATAGCTTGCACATGTGGACGTGCTTTTCATGGAATTATGTGTCTGCAGCAATAGGTTACTTGAGGTTCTCTCTTCTTAGTTGTCCCATTGTGCCAATCCCTTTGTCATTAGGGTACAGACTCACATAAGGGGTTTCACAGGTCACAACCAATGCTCATTGCCATGGCGGGTGGAAGAGCTTGGCCTACTCTTGCCCTTGTTGAAGACAACCCTGTAGCTAGAGAAATCTGAGCATTCCACAGCAATTAATTTACTCTCTTTCCCCTCCCAACTTCTCTTCACAATTAAATCAAACTTAGCAAAAGCCTGCGCAGGTGATGGCTTCAAAGCTGATGTTCATGTTGTTGATACTGAAACAATGTCTTGGTTTGATCAGGTGGTAGAAATGAAGGAAATCAGCCCCACCCGTGCCAACGGAGAGCACCAACCAGGCCTGGAGAGCCAGGGGCGGGCAGCTTCCATGCCACGCCTGGCTGCCGAAACTCAGGTGAGCCAGGGAGGCTTTGCTGGTGATGGGAGACTGAGAGTGGGTCAAGAACTCAGTATCTTCTCTCTATTTGTCCTGTTGTTGGAAGTTGCTTGTGAATATTTGTTTTAAAAGATGTTTGCTGAACCTGGAGATGGGTAACCAGCCTTTGTGCTTGAATGGCAGATACTCGTGTGTAGACACAGCACTGTCTCCAATTTTAATCATAAAAACAGCTGGAGATGTGGTGTGATTCTCCTTGATGAATGTAGTAGGTACAGAAGATACCAGGAAGCCTGTGCCTGGAAGGCTGCATTGAGACACTAACTCTGTTGTGGCTTTTGTCAGTAAAATGTTGAGGATTTAAATTTTTTAACTCCTTGTAAAGAAATCTCCTAATTAGACTTGACTTTTACAGCAACTTGTGGATGCTACTTAGTGCATAGGTTGTCATGGTTTCCACAGATCATTTTTTGGCCATTTCACATATTCATTGCTAGCTTATTGTCCCAGATGCTCTTCAGCCACTGTCCTGCCTCCAATGTGTTGGAACATCTTACCACTCATAGTTGTGTCTCTCTCATTCAAAGGGCCTGATTCATACAGGCAGGAGTCCACCTGGTCTAGTGGAAGGTGTCCCTGCTGATGGCAGAGGGGATGGAACTGGTTGATCTTGAAGGTGCCTTCCAACCCAAACCAGTCTGTGATTTATGAGTGAGCAGCCCATGGTTGTGGGAAGCAGAACATGAAAGAAATTCCACACCCTACAACTAAACTCCCGTGTATTTCATACACAGCAATAGCTCCACAGCTAGAACCTTCTTGGCTGTTGTGCTCAGGGTGGCTCAAGCTACACTTCATCGGTGAGCAAATTTCCCAGCTGACTTCAGAAATTACAATCTTGGTATGAGAGCTGGGATTTTCTGCCTTATCAGCAATACTACTCAACATGCTTAAGAAAAGAAACAGACCCCAAAGCAAACCCATACTCCCTCCCTTCCCCTTTCCCAGAACAAAGTTGTCCTTTATTGTAGACCACAAGTAGCATCTTTCCTTCCAAGGCAATGCAGTTGGCAGCAGCAGAGCCAGCAGCACGAGTTTTTCCTTGGGAAACACCTCTCCATTGCAGTCAGATATTTCCAGAAGTGAATCCCTCTCGCACAAGCACGGTACGTCTTCCCCAGGGTGCAGCTGCCCCGCGTGAAACCTCTCTGAGCTCGTTATGAATCAGGTCCATGATATCAAACCTCATTTAATAAGACGATGTTTTGGCGGTTGTAGCTTCAGCTGAATAACCAATTGTCCTTTCTGTGTGTGTCTTTCCCTTCCACCCTCCTTCTCACGTGCTGCTTCTGCTTCCCTCCCAACTTTTTGAGTTCTTCATAACTTTTATTTGCGATGCTTTCTGTTTCTGGATGTCTCCCTTTTTGTTTGCCTGTCATTCCTCTATCTTTTTACATTCCCATTTTTTTATTATTAATTTATTTCCTAACTTTCCCTAATGCTTTCAATCTCACCTCCTCCCTCCTTTCTTTGCTGTCCTCCTTCCGCCATCACCTCCTCTCTCTGGTCGTCATCGTGTCTGCTGCCCATCTGCCGTGATGTCTGACAATGGCTGTACTGTGGGGGCTGCTTCAAATAAATATCTCTCATCTTGCCCGAATTGTTTGCAGAGGAGCAAAGCACGGTCACCTGGGAGTTACCTAGCAGTATGTAGTTTGCACTCAGTTGTATCCTATTAAATTAATGTTAAGAAATAATTAACCTTCCTTAACCCTTTACTCTTTGGTGTTTTTCTTGCCCTTCTCATTTGGAGCCCAATGTTGTGCCAACTCTCTCTCCCTTGAGCCCCAATTGCACGTCGCACGCTCCAATAGCAGGGACTTTTTGGTTTGGTTTGCTTATTTATTTGGGTTTCTTTGGATGCTTTGTTATACAGGAATTTAGGGATTGGTTTGGTAATGAAGAAACAATTAGTAACTCTCTGCATGGTTGTGATGTCATCTCCCAAGGCTTGAGCCTGTGCGCGCCCTGTTAACGTAGTGAGAGCATTGGGAGGATTTATGGCCAAGGGTGTTCGTTGCTTCACCACTTCCCATTAGTGTCATAGAATTGCTTTGGTTGGAAAAGATCTCAAGATCACCGTGTCCAACCATCAACCCAACACTACCAAATTCTACCTCTAAACCATGTCCCTCAGCACCTCGTCTACCCATCTAGGTAGATGAATTGGGGCTGTACAGCCTGGAGAAGAGAAGGCTCCAGGGAGATCTTATAGCGGCCTCCCAGTACCTGAAGGGGCTACAAGAAAGCTGGGGAAGGACTTTTCATAAGGACAACTAATGACAAAACAAGGGGAAATGGGTTTAAGCTGAAAGAGGGCAGGTTTAGATTAGATATTAGGAAGAAGTTCTTCACTGTGAGGGTGGTGAGACACTGGAACAGGTTGCCCAAGGAAGTTGTGGCTGCTCCTCCCTGGAAGTGTTGAAGGCCAGGCTGGATGAGGCTTTGAGCAGCCTGGTCTAGTGGAAGGTGTCCCTGCTGCTGGCAGGGGGGTTGGAACTGGATGAGCTTTAAGGTCCCTTCCAACCCAAACCATTCTATGATTCGATGATTCTATCTTTTAAAACCCTCCAGGGGAGGTGACTCCACCACCTCCCTGGGCAGCCTGTTCCAATGCTTGATAACAATGAAGAAGTTGGAATAAGCACAGAATCAGGTCCCAGGTCCAAAGAGAAATGTTAATTTCTTACTGATTTGTCAGGCTTTTTGTTGGGAAATTTCTGTCATCATCTTTCTGGCAGCTCCTACATGGATTTTGGAAATCTAGATAAGTGCTTTTAGTGGGAAATATTTTCACTTTTCACTTTTTTCCCCATATCTTTCAAATCCTGAATCTGTCTGTCCAGTTTATGGACTTCTCTGCCCTCCTCCATCTTCAGGAGGACAAACATGAACCTCTTCAGCAGAATTTCTTGCCCATAGAAAGTGCACACAGCAAAAGACACAGGAGACAAACGCAGCACAAGATGGTCCTGCTCACTGCACTGGTGCAGACCCTGGGGACACACTGACACTATGCTGTGCTCACCCACCCCAGCAGTGTCTGCCTTTGCCTCTGACCAACCTTCCAGCTCCATCACCTCCAGTGGGAAGCACCAAAATTTGGGTAACTACCTAACAAAAGAGAGAGCAACCAACAACTATTCACCCAAGGCTGCATCTTTGCATGAAGGACCATCCAGCCAAAGTTCTTTCCACTCAAAATAATGAGGAGAGCTGTAGAAACAACTGGCTTTGCAGTGTGTAAATATCACAGGGCAGCTGAGATCTGAATTTCAGGATAAGCAAATAAAATAACATAGACGGTAAAAATAATACAGGGCTCTTTGGAAAGGTTACAGTGAACAAAGTAAATGTTCTGTGAGAACCGTTGGTGGAGGCACTTACTGGATTGTGAATCCAAACAAACGTAAGAGATCAGGGACTGGAGAACATCCTGAGCTGACAGTTTGATAATTGGAGGCTTCTTAAATCCAGTATTATACCGAATAATTTATATTCTTAATTATAATATCCCTATAACATACGAAATGCATTCAGGATGGAAAGACAATGTCAGAAATTAACTTTGAAATTAATTCCTCTCAAAATATATCATCTCTACCTTGCCTGCAAGGAAAGACTTTCTCAAAGGTTTTTGGACCTTTGTGAAAGGACCACGGTGCTCTGAGGTCTTTCCTCTGCAGCTTTGATGCAGTGATAGACCCAAGGAAGCCTCCCAAGGATGGATGAATCCTATCTCCACCACAGAGCCATCTGCAAAGCAGTTGGAGGCCAGCAGAGTGGAAGAGAAAGAAACATGAAGATTGGCCTCATTTTCTGAGCTTTACACCTTTATTGGGCAGTAGGGAAGGGAAAAGCTGTGAGAACATCTGTCCTGCAGTCCACGTGTCTTGGTTTCTGCAGAGGAGCTTTGTAAGGCTTTGAACCCAAAGGGAAAGGAGCAGAGTCTGGGGCTGCCACTGGCACAGGGACAAGGTCCAGCAGTGTCCATGGGTGGCTGTGTTACTCGCACAGATGTTTGCCTCTCAAGCCAGAGGTGATTTGAAAACAGCAATAGCAATAGCAAAGGTATCCTGGTAGAATTGCAGGTCATACATGCTACCTTGCTTGTCCCAGTCACATGGGCTTCCAGGAGTAATGGTGGGATGAGAAGAGGGGTTTAGATGTTTGGTAGGAGTTGTCTCCAGTTGCAGGCAGGTAGAATTAATTACTTGGTGGCTTGGCCTGTACTTTGCCCACTTATCCTTGATTTTTTTTTCTCCCTCTCCATGTGATGCCCAGCAACACTTTCATGCTTTCATCTTTGGAGTTGCTTTGGGATGACCCCAGGCCCTGAAGCAGCTTTGGGTGAAATTAGTCTTGGAGAATGATCTTTGTGAGATGCTTGGCTACTGTGCTATCCTGTGCCCCTGCTAATCTGCTCCTGACTCCTCTGTCGCTGTGGTTGGTGTGAAGTTCTGCCTGGTTGCTCTGTGCCCGTTGGTACCTGTGGGTTGGCACTTGGCTACAACTAAAACCCATTTCAGCAAACAGACATTGCTCCTCAAAGTCACCACAAAACCCAACCATTCCACAAGTCCTTCTGCCCATTCCACTTATATCCAATTTTTATATCAACATTTTTCTCCTTGCCCTTGTCTCGCCCTGTATGACCCTCCCCATGTTGGGAACCAAGCAGCTGAGCATGGTGCAGAACCTGTCCTCATCCTGCTCCTCCGTGTCCCTCCTTGCAGCCTATCCCAGACACGAGCCCCATGAAGCGCTCGGTCTCCACGCTGACCCCACAGCGCCCACATGCCATGCACCTCTACGAGTACTCTTTGGAACGCATGCCACCAGAGCAAGGGCATCACCACCATCACCACCGCTGCCACCGGAGGAAAGAGAAGAAGCAGAAGTCCTTGGACAGGTCCCCCCATCAGCTGGCCGATGGAGAAGCTGGTAAGTGCTCGCAAACAAGGATTTGTCCATCATCCTCCTCCCTTCAGGATGCACAGTGGTCATCTGATGTGATTTGGGGTCCCATCTGCATGGTGGGACCTCCCTGTCCTACACTTAAAAGTTCTACCTATGTTGTTGACCTCCAACCAATGTTCTTCTTTCAGTGGCCCAGTCTGGTGAGTCTTATTCCAAGGACAAGAAGCAAGAACGTGGCCGGTCCCAAGAGAGGAAGCAGCACTCTTCCTCCTCCTCTGAAAAGCAGCGTTTCTATTCCTGCGACCGCTACGGCAGCCGGGACCGTTCTCAGCCCAAGTCTGCTGATCCGAGCAGGCCCACCTCACCCAACGGAGGGCCAGAGCAAGGTCCACACAGACAGGTGAGAAGATGCAGGGTGGGAAAAGAACCCTAAGTTCTTCCAGGGATGTGCACAACTTTCCCATGTGTTGTATAAAATAAAGGAGACAGAACAGGAAAGGCTGGGCAGTAGGAAGTAAAGCCTTTGAGGTCCTGCTTGGTCCTTCACATCCAAGACAAGGATGGAAATATCATTTGGTGGCTCTTTAGTAGCCACCTACAGAGTGAGCAACTCGCAGCATCTCACTGGGACCTCACTGCCAAGGACACCCTTCCTCACAATTTCAGCAGAGCAGCCTGGGAGACCTGAGAACTGTCAGCTCTTGATAAGAAAGAGCTTGGTGGAGAAAGTGTATCTGAGTCAAGGCAGGCTGGTAGCCTCACTCCGAGAAGGACATGGAGGTGCTGGAGCGTGTCCAGAGAAGGGCAACGGAGCTGGGGAAGGGTCTGGAGCACAAGTGTGCTGAGTTCCCGGCTGAGGGAACTGGGGGTGTTGAGCCTGGAGAAAAGGAGGCTGAGGGGAGACCTTCTGGCTCTGTCCAAGTCCCTTGGAGGAGGGTGCAGAGAGGTGGGGGTGGGTCTGTTCAACCAAGGAGCAAGGGACAGGACAAGAGGAAATGGGCTCCAGTTGTGGCCAGGGCAGTTGAGATGGGATGTGAGGAAGAATTTCTTTGCTGCAAGGGTTCTGAGGCATTGGAAGGGGTTGCCCAGGGCAGTGGTGGAGTCCCCATCCCTGGAGGTGTTTAAAAGCCGGGTAGATGAGGTGCTTAGAGATCTGGTTTAGCAGTGGACAGCTCAGAGATCTTTTCCAACCACTATGATTCTATGACATCTCCAAGTACCACACAGCTGCTGTGCTCAGAGGGAGGTTCCGGCCACTCTCCAAAACCCTAAATTTGCAGCTGGATGCTGGTCTGTGACCGGGCAGGTGCCTCCAGAGGGATGAGTGATGCTGTCAGCCATGAGCCTCTGCAGCAACATCCTGCCATGGTCCTGAGCAGCACCCAGGCTGCAGCCTGGGAGGTTGTGTGCTGCAGTGGGTGCTCAGGAGCTGCTGCCCCATAGCTCTGGAGACACCCAGGGTGTGGGACACACTTTGCACAGTCATTCTCAGCTGGGAGGAGATGTGACATCAACGTACGGTCTGATGTGCCCAGGCCTGTGTGTGGCCATAGCAAGAGGGAACTGCAGCCTAAGGGGTCTTTTCCATTTCCAGTCCCTGACTGGCTTTCTTCCCATTTTTCAGATGAATTTTTCTTTCCATATCTTAATTTCTCCCTCAGCTTGGAGAGGCAGGAAGATGACACTGATTTTTTTTACCATGATGATTTTTACTTCTCCTTTCTTGCACGCTCAGTTTACCAGACTTTTAAATTATCACCTATATTTTAATTAAAAAAAAAAACCCCACCAAACCCTGAAACCTTCCCATAATTCACAGACATTCAGCTTTTGAGCATCAACTACCTTTTCATAACCCTCTTCCCCCATCCCAGTGAAGTCCATATTGTCCCCCATGTCCCATGGGGGGGTTTAATAAGGCAGGTTTTTGAGGTTCTCCTGCCTAGTCCAGGTAAGGCGCATGTGGAGCCTGTGTATGGTGTGGATGCCTCCCCCCCACCCCTCAACCCCCGGACAGTGTCCCCTTCTGTTGGAGCCGTCTGCCCTTTGCCTCCTACCGATGCTCTGATCCTTTCTGTCCTTATTTAACCGCTCGCAGAACTTTTAAGTTCTCCAGCTCTTTACATCTCGTGTGGAATTACTTCTCGAGAACCTCCTCCCCCCTCTCCGACTGTGCTTGTCTAAACTCTCTCTTTTTTTTGTTGTTGTTGGTCTTTTTTTTTTTGCTGTTGTTGGTTTTTTTTTTTCTTTTCTTTCCTCCTGTGACTCGTCTCTCCCTTCTGTTGCTTCTCCTTCCGTTCTCTACCCGCCTGCCTTTGTGTTTCGTCTGGTCTTGCCCCTTTCTTTATTTTTTGATTTGCTTTGTTCCAATTTTGATGTAGGGCAGTGGTTCAGTTAATGGGAGCCCCTTGCTGTCGACATCTGGTGCTAGTACCCCATGCCGGGGTCGGAGGCAGCTCCCACAGACTCCACTCACCCCACGCCCCAGCATCACTTACAAGACCGCTAACTCCTCGCCCGTCCACTTCACCAGTTTCCAAACTGCTCTGCCCACATTCTCCCCGGGACGACTGAGCCGAGGTTTGTCCGAGCACAACGCCCTGTTACGTGGGGACCAACAACCGACCCCACTGGCCGTGGCCCGTATCGGCTCTGACCCTTACCTGGGACACCGTGATGACACCGACAGCCCCTACCGCGCTGTGCCGGAGGACACCCTCACCTTCGAGGAGGCGGTGGCCACCAACTCGGGACGGTCCTCAAGGACTTCTTACGTCTCTTCTTTAACCTCCCAATCTCACCAAATCCGGAGGGTGCCCAACGGTTACCATTACACGTTGGGTCTCAACACAGGTCCCGGGACTGGCACCAGAGGACGTAGTTACTACCACGAAGCCGATGAGGATGACTGGTGCTAGCGGGGTGGCAACACCCTTGGAGGCCTGCGTGTTTAAAATCGA